AAGCCGCAGCCTCCAGTGTGGACATATTGCAAAGAATAAATTCCCAATCTTCCAGCATGTCTTTTTGCTCCAATGTCAGCAAACGATAATGACGGGAAAAAAGTTTTTCGCTCGCTTCCACTCTACGCAGCTGTTTGCCTGATTGCTCGTGATCGTGACCACATCCCTCAAGGTCTGCTTTTCCAGCTGCACAATTTCAGCTGCAAACTTTGCGAAATAATCTTGCGCCCGCGCGAATGCTAGCGTGCAAGTCCGACGAGCTGGTTGTTGTGCTTCTACACCGATCCAACAGAATTCGGCTTCCCACATCGCAATGGTTTCCTTGTGCTCTGGTGCAAAGCTTTCAGAATAACGCTCTAATAAAAGCAAAATGAAAACGGCCATGGGATTGCTTTTCACCTCTCTGCTGCGTAACACACCCTGTAAGGTTCCTGCCCCGAGCTGCTGCATGGATTCGGCCTTTTGCAATAAAAACTGATGACCGCAGTCGAAGCAACTCTCCATGTGGGACAAAAAAGCCACTGCATCCAATCTCGACATGTCACAAAGAACAAATTTCCAGTCCTCCAATAGCTCTCGCTGCTCTACCGCCAATGTAGCCACCTTGCGGTGCCAAAAGTTTTTTGCTGCGTTCCACTCCTTGACCTGGTTCGCACGATTACTTTTCAGCAGCGATTCCAAAGTTGGTTTCTGCAACTGCACGAGCTCTTCGCAGTAAGTTGCTAGAAATGCAACAGTTTTGCTCACACCGTCCGCCATGGCGCACAACGTGCAGCTAGTGGTGGCGGACAGAAAAGTCACACCACGGCTAGCTGACGAGCAAAATGACTACGGGTGGAGGACAGAAAAGTCACACCACTGCTAGCTGACTAACAAAATTGAACACAGAATGAATATTGTTTGGTTGACATATTGTTTGATTGTCGCTTCAATACGAATACCATATTATTCCTTGAAGACTCTAACATTGGCAAAAGAAATTGAGGGAAATTGGCCAAAACTACTGTTGGTAGGACAACAATGCTAAACATAACGTGTGTCATGACTCTTTTCTATCGTTGCCCCCTTGCACATGCCATACTTGTATCTTGCGTCCTGCAACATGATTTAAACACTATTGATTCGACGACATCCAGGCAGATTTAAACACTATTGTATCGACGACATCCAGGCGAATCATGGACGAGCTGTGAGCATCCCAAACATTGCACAGCAGAAGATGTAACATGAACTCATGTCCCCAGAAAGGTGTGATTGTATCAGCCAGTGACGTAATTATGATTGCATCTTTGTGACTTAATCAGGAACCAACAATTCATGTAAGAAAACAGTTTGCATGTCTTCTGGAACACTGATAACAAATCAACAAACGTTCTACAGAAGCACAAATTCCTCATCTACATCTCCCCTATTTTCATCACTTGATTCCCGGTATATAAAACCATCGTGAATTGGAACCCCAAAAAACAAAACTTCAAGTACTGATCAACCAGATTCAGATGACCATCTGAAATAGCTCTCAACAAACAAAAATAAATTCAAACACAAGTACGAAATAGTACGAAGCTATCTACGACATAAACTCATGCATGTGGTCAACACACAACTCTGGAAAAACAAAGAAATATACACTTTTGGTGTTTAACCCCTCTAAGAGACAGCACTGAACTCCAAACATATCATACCTTGGTATGTATGATTCTTCGACTTCGCACTTGTTGATCATAATTAGTCCCTGATATAATCCCATATGGTGGATAACATTCTGCTCAAAAAATATATAACCAGAAGTCACCTCAAGCACCTTTAGGATCTACATGCGACCCCTCAAACCGGTAGATCCATGAATGCACGACATAGTGTAGTTAATGTTGAAGGAGACGAAGCTACTCGAACCGTTACCACTTGATGTCAAGTCAACCCATAAAAAATACATCTTCCTGTTTTTCTCAACATCAACGTCTGAAACACAACCAAACATCGACTAAGCATTCTTTCCCGGGATTCATTTCACCTAGGAGGTAAGGGTAGACAAGAAAAAAGTAGTAGCGTTCGTTGCTGCGAAAACCAAAAACCAATCTTGAAGAACAGACATATCAAAACCCTCATACATCTCATACCATTTCAGACCCCAATTACCTGAACAAGTACTAAGTACCAAACAACGACCCTATAGGCACCGTCCGGGAAGACCATGTCACCAAGTCGCAAGTGACGGCTTTTTGCTTCGCGACGACAATCCCAACAGATACGGCAAGCCCGGCAAGCTGGATAGGTCAGAAAAATCGCAATCCAACTTTTCGAAGTGCAGGCATTGGAACGGCCAGACGAGACACATTCCACTTGCGATTGCATGCTTCCGCGGTCAGAAAAGACACACGACGACAGGTCAGAAAAGACACAATCGACTCTCGAAAAATATCCCTGTGTAACTAGGAAATGCCAAAGTCTCCTTCAGGACCTTCACTTTGCTACTCGGCGTTTTCTCTGCAAAAGCCTCCAAAGGTGGTCGCTTCCTGCCCGCTGTCTGTTCCATGTCTCTTCTCTGCCATTTAGGTCTTTCAAGCCAAGCGGCAACATCCACCGCTGAAGAGTGCTGCAAAATTTGCTATCTACCTATCTACCTATCCACCTATCTACCTAACTACCTACCTACCTACCTATCTATCTATCTATCTCTATCTCTATCTCTATCTCTATCTCTATCGATCGACCTATCTACCTCTATCTCTTTCTATCTCTTTCTATCTCTTTCTATCTCTTTCTATCTCTTTCTATCTATCTATCTATCGATCTATCTACCTATCTATCGATCTATCTAACTATCTATCTATCCATCTATCTATCTATCTACCTATCTATATCTCTCTCTGTTTATCTATCTATCTATCTACCTATCTACCTACCTATCTATCTATCTATTTATCTACCTATCTATCTATCTACCTATCTATCTATCTATCTATCTATCTATCTATCTATCTATCTATCTCTCTCTCTATCTATCTATCTATCTATCTGTCTATCTATCTATCTATCGATCTATCTATCTATCTATCTTTCTATCTATCTATCTATCTATCTATCTCTCCATCTATCTATCTATCAATGTATCTACCTATCTACCTATCTATCTATCTATCGATCTATCTATCTATCTATCTCTCCATCTATCTATCTATCTCCCCATCTATCTATGTATCTATCCTATCCTATTCTATCCTATTCTATCCTATCCGATCTATCTACCTATCTATCTATCTATCTATCTCACCTGTCTATCTAACTATGTATCTATCTATCTACCTATATAACTATTTATCTATCTCTCTGTCTGTCTGTCTGTCTGTCTTTCTTTCTATCTCTCTGTCTGTTTGTCTGTCTGTCTGTCTGTCTGTCTATTATCTACCTGTCTATCTGCAAGCTTGAATAAGAAGCTATTCTGCGAGACGTCCTCATTGTTTGAACTCGACCACATCAAAAACGCAGCTATTCTGCGAGACGTCCTCAATTTTTGAACTTGACAACATCAAAAACGCAGCTATTCTGCGAGACGTTCTCAATTTTTGAACTTGACAACATCAAAAACGAAACACTTCTGCGAGACTTCCTCATTTTTTCGAAGTTGACAACATCAAAAACGAAAGAATTCTCTGAGACTTCCTTCAAAAATAGAAAGTTGAGTGCAGAGCTGACGGCCTCGTACCAATGCATTTTGCTATTTTTCCAGTCCATCTGTCTAAACTATTGCGCCTACCACGCAAAAGTGGTGCCCGGTCATACAAAGTGCTGCACCTGTCACGCAAAATCATCTCAGCAAACCTGAAGATCGGAGGCTCCAAAATGCAACCCCTCTCAGGAAAACCTCCTAACAGCTCTGATGAACATGTCTTTTGTACTGCGCCTGCCACGGAAAATGCATCTTTGCAGATCCTCTTCAAATGTCTCACGCCTGCCATCGTTTTTGAAAATGCTACAAAACCTTCACGTTTTGCTCACTTTTGACAAGGTCCACAATCCCTTGCGCCTGCCACGCGAAACGAAATCTAAACGTCCAAAAGTGGCGCGAGCATGTGGTGCTTTTACCATTTTGACTTCGAATTGTGCTTCGCGCAACAACGGCGTGCACTTTTTCGACATCTCAACTTCCAAAAGTGGTCCGAGAATGTTGTGTTTTGTACATTTTGACTTCAAAATGTGCTTCTTGCCACAACGGCGTGCACTTTTTCGACATCTCAACTTCCAAAAGTGGTCCGACCATGGTGTGTTTTGTACATTTTGACTTGGAAATGTGCTTCGCGCCACAACGGCGTGCACTTTTTTGACATCTCAACTTCCAAAAGTGATCCGGACCTGGTGTGTTTTATACATTTTGACTTGGAAATGTGTTTCGCGCCACAACGGCGTGCAATTTTTCATCTCTCATCTGGCCAGCTGGCTCCGCACCCGCCACTTTAGCAAGCCTACTTTTCGACCCTCCGGAGCCACACATCATTGGAAAAACACAGTGTTTCGCGGCTTTCCTACCTTTTCGCGCACCTGGATCTTCTTTCTTCGAAGGCTTTCTCTTTTTGATCTTCTTTCTTATTCTCTTCTCTTCTCTGACTCTTCCCATCTCTGCTTTTCATCTGTGCATATTGTCGGAAGTTTGACTTCTAAACTTCTTTCGACTATACATACATGTTACATATGTTTCTTACATTCATGTTAGATTACATTTTAGCGTCGTCTGCTGGCGCACATATATTGAATCAATTGCATAAGGCATATATGTATGTATATTTAGTACATATATATATATATATACATCTCTCCATCTTTCCATTCTATCCATCCACCCATCCCATCTATCTATCCATCTTTCTATCAATCTGACCTGTAAGAATGTAATGTACTGTAAATGTAAATGTATATAAATGTAATCAATGAAAATGCAAAGGTAACAGCAATGTATATGTATTGATATATGGCATTTCTGTCGTCAAGATGTACCCCTGAAGGTGCGCGACTTGCTTTACGACGTGACGGGGTGCCATCCGGTGACCTATGCGGACACGCGACTGACTGGACAGGGCGAGGTTCCCGTGGAGCGTGTCCTCACCAATGCGTGGCTGGCAAAATAGGGGGGCTTTGGGACGCTTCGGGGATGGTTGGGGATAGCTGAATATCACACGCATGTGGAAAGAGCCTGCCTAAACAAAATTTGGATAGAACCTGCCCAAATTAGCAATTAGTGAACGAACAGTGGTATATAACCCGACGAAATGAGGATCGAACATGGATTTACTTGAGAGATACGAGGAGAAGAATCTTATGACTGTGACTGTGTGTTTGGGGATATTGGGCCGTGGGGTGAGAATACATGAAAGATGGGGAAAATCGTGTGGAGGTTGCCACAATGATGCTGGGAGTCTACTTTGGTGACTTTCATGACAATTCAATTCAACCATTTGATTTGCCAACTTGTAATGGAAAACAACAGATAAAGCTACCACTATGTTTCATAGGTAAATCAACTTCAAACGGGTTATATTCCATAGTTATGTTAGATTAGCAGAGGGATGCGGAGGGTATTTCATGTGTCTGCAACTTTTGTTTCTCAAATATGATTGTAAGTCTTGCTTCATGTCAGACCTACTCTGGGTTTCGCAAGACACTTAAGATAGTAGAGACAACAGTTTTGGTGGTTTTAACAGGGGATGTGGATGCAGCATGCTTCAGCACAATTTTCAAAATGTTCAAAGTCTGGGAGCACACACCGATTTTAGGTCTGTCTACAATAGCACCTCGCTGAAACGACAGTGCTTGGACTACATGTACTTGAGCTGAAGATTGGGATGATGGCACTGGGCAAGGGTCAGTTTGCAGCAAGTTGCGGCTACTTCCTGGATGGTTTGGGAGGTGGCAAAGTTGTGCATCCTGGTAAATTGAAATCCACGGTTTTTGAAGGACATGACCTACAAACGGTGGATTTTCCATGGAGGGCAGATGAAATCATCAAGACACTACCACAATTGCTCTCCGAAAACGCGATTTTCATGCCACTTTCCTACCTGGAGGGTGAAAAGTAAACCTGCAGCCCCAGAAAAGATAGAAAATATATGAACATATATATCATATATATATATACCAGTAGTACCGCA